GTCCACCCTCATCATTCCCTGGGGATCTTGCTGCTCCCCTCCCCTGCTGTTCTGCTGTACTTCCCGAATTTACATTTTTAAATAGTTGAAAGGAAATCAAAAGAAATAATACTGTGTGATAAGTAAAACATTGTATGAAATTTGGATTTTACTGTTCATATAATATAAAAAGTTTTATGGAGCGTAGATAGCCACACTCATTTGTTTAGAAACAAGGGTGAGTTGAAAAGTATTGCTACAACGTCATAGACCCCTTTATTAAACAGCAATAACAAAATGTGAAGCTATTGCTTCTTGCCATTTCTTCTATCTAGATCTATCTACTTCTCAAGGCCATGTTTCCTTCTCTCTCCCTCTTCCCTGAAGAATTCTGTACTCGCTTACACCACCTCACAACTGCAGTTTTGTATACTTGAGGGACTCAAATTACACTCCTTTCACATGTTCTTTGAGGAACAAAAGGAAGTGTGGGGGGCAAGATCAGAGATATAGAGTGAATAGGCTAAGGTTCCCAACAACGTGTTCGTAGGACAGCCCTTGATACTCAAAGTCTGTGTGGAAAAGGGAAACCATTCTCAGTGCAACTTGCCTGTCCCTTGTCTTAGCAGTGCAGTTTTCAGGGTTCTTTAAACTTCTTCATAATAGGCTCCCATGATTGTCCTTCACCCTTTGATAAAATCTATCAAGATTACCCCATGGAATCCCAGAAATGGCTGCCATAGCCTTCTGAACTGGCATTTTGGCCTTGAAGTGAATTGGCCTTTTGATGCTGCTGTTTTGGTTGGACCTTTGTTTTTAAGGCCCCCTAATGACAAGTGAGAGGACTTGTTTACAGGCATCTACGGATCATGGAGTCATATTTAAACATGTTTTGTTTGCAGTAGACTCATGCTTGGATGAACTTGGACTCTAGTAACCATTTTGGGGCTTATGTGTATATTGTTCATGGCTGCTTTTGTCCTACAAAGTCAGTGTTAAATATTCATGACAGAGGTGATTATGTGGTACTCGCATCTCTTCTTGCTCACAATTACAACTCACCAACTTGAAATCAGGTACCACCAAATCATGACATTTAAATGTTAATTTCCAGTGTATACCCATTATATCAAAACAAGAAAAGAAAAAAATGAGATTTTTTTACTTGGGAAAGCAGATATATTATCTGAGCTCCGATTACAATTCCAGCAGCATTTTTTGGACCTTGATGCACTTGCATGGGAAATTTCCATACTGTATAATCCATGTAACTCCAATGGATCTTCTACATAACCTTCAAATGGAACTGATGTGAGGCTTCTACATAAGCTTCAAATGGAACGGATTAATCAGCAGTGTAATGGCATGATAAAAGGCAAATCCAAGAAAAGGATCTAATCTGAGTCTATAAATGCTTCCCAAATGATGAATGTGCTCAATTAAAATAGGAATGTGGATATATAAGGTACTATCTGAGCAAAAAGACATTTTTGAAGATGAAGACATAAAAGTTTCATTATAGATCAGTTTTCACACAGAAACTTTTACAATCAGTATTCAAGATAGAGGAAACTAACATTGAACCCCTTTTAACTAAGTGAAATGTTATCTCTTGAAAACACATTCCATTCTTATTAATAGATCGGTTTTATAAAGTTTACACTCAGTTAATATATTTTGAAATCAATAAAAATCTTGCAAAATTTGATTGCTCTTTTGCTTTGGAAGTACCTAGGATCCCTGGTGGTATACTGGTTATGTTTTTGGCTACTAACTGCAAGGTCAGCAGTTTGAGACCACCAGCTCCTCTGGCAGGAGAAAGACGAAGCTTCCTACTCCCATAAAGAGTTACAATCTCAGAAATCCCAGCTTCAGTTCTGCCCTGTCGTAGGGTCTCTTGGAAGCAATTCAATGGCAGTGAGTTTTGGGTTCTGGAAGTACCTCTGTAATAGCCTTGATTTTACCTGTTTGCTCTCGGAGTCTATAAAAATATTTGCTACAAGAAATTTCCTTTACCAGGAACATTTTTAAATCTGGCACTTCCTTATTCCTATTTGCTATTCCTTAATTGGAATACTTCTTTCTAATTCACTCATCCAGTGTTTTGCCTGGTCATCATGGTCACTTGGCATGTTTGTTAAGAATATGGCTTCTGTTCTGACTCAGCCAAGTGCTGCATTTTATGATCAGGGAAAATTGGGAAACTGTTTTAATCTCTATAGGAATATACCTCTGAGGCCTTACCCCAGCTCAAATCAAAAGAAGATCAAATCTCCTCTATTAATTGGCTCTTAGTTCTTTCATTGGTATTATTTTTCTCAGACGTATTAGTAGTTCTTCGAGGCCCTGCACCCCCCCCACCGAGCCTCAGAATGAAACGTCTCCTGCCGTCTACTATTTACTCTTCCCACCGAGTCTCAGAATAAAACGTGTCCTGCTGTCTACTATTTACTCTTCCCACCGAGTCTCAGAATAAAACGTGTCCTGCCGTCTACTATTTACTCTTCCCACCGAGTCTCAGAATAAAA